GACATTAATCTTCTCCGTTTGAAAGTAAAAGTAATTCAAAGTAATTCACCAAATTATTGTCTGTTTATGATTTCCACTGCAAACCTGGAAATACTGAACAGTTTACAGATGATGTATTTAAAATATTAATTGTATGATTTGTATTATATGAGCCACAAACATTTTATGGCAGGATTAAAAACATAATAATAATTTCTGATGTGTTCTTTGCAAGTCGTATTCATTTAAATAGGAAAAAAAATAGCTTTGAAAAATTTACTTTGTAAACAATAAGACATAACATAACATAACATAAATTTAGATATAAAACTGGTAAATATCAAAATACATGCACATAATAATTACTGATATTGAGGGTTTAAAAAACATTATTATTACATTTATTACATTATTTTCTAATGTGTCTTTGTATGCATTTATTTGAGCGCTGTGTTTATAATAGAGTTTGATACAATTATTTAAGGGGTAGGAAATGTTTTATGGACTTTTATTGACTTATGAACAGTTTTTACTCTGATTTTATTGGTGGATACTATACACGTGCAGTGCCATAGTTCCCATATGGAAATTCAGAGTGAATATAAAAAAGTTGTTGGTCATTATGTAAGAATGTTTTATAAAAATAAAATGTCCTTCTATTAATGTATCGTGTGTAGTCTGATTACTGGAAAGTCGGGAACATATATGGATATATGGCAGACTTTCTTTATAAATAATCTAAAAGGGCTAAAATGTTGTTCTTCAGTTTTGTTGGATCAAGTTACAGAAGTGTAGAGCTGCCACCCAAGCGAAAGAAAAATGGAGGTCTATCACATTATAACATGAAAACTTGTTCTAACAACATGTTTTCACGTTTGAACAACATAAATATTATATTGTTAGAATGTGATAATCATATTGTTTGAACAATAAAGTTTTTACGTTATAGCATATCTTTTATTGTTCAAACACGATATATTCGTTTGCCTTAAAACATAGTGAAGTGGATGACAGTGCAGATCAGAGTGCGAGAAAATGGCTCGTTTATCTGAATTCATTAAGTTCTATTTTATGCTTGGACTGAGGCATGGGGAGATCTTGCTGTTATTGAGCAG